AGTTTGACTTTGTTGTGATGTCCTGGTACGGACTAACGGAGAATCGCGCTATTTCTTATTTTTATGTTTTTTGCTTTACTGTCAGAAATACCTCAGTGGTTTCGCCATAGTGATTTAAGATGAGAAGCCTCTAAAGAACTGTTCAGAGTGATGCACACATCTACGAAGTTTGAATCAGAACGAACTGCTCCTCTTTCATTTGTGCGTGGAAAGATTATGTTCAATATGTTGGTGAACTGGAAAAAATTGAAAGCTTATTTCACATGTGCTGAATTAGCCCAGAAAACGTTTGACACAAAATATAAAGTAAGATTGTTAAAGGAAATGCTGTTAGACCACAACAAATATTTGTACTTTGTGTTTGCGACACCAATTGTACAAGAATTTGAAAGACTGAACAGTGTTTTTCAACAAACAAAAGCTGATCCTCATGAACTACACCAAGAATTGTCCATGCATCAGAAAAGTCTTAAGAACAGACTGTATGACGCCAATGAACAGATACAAATATTCATCACGTTGACTTTGGTATTAAATTCATAACGGAATGTAATGCCTTTCCTACAGAAGAAAAACGGGACTGAAGTTTAGATAGAAATAAACAATGTTAATGAAAGATGCATGTCTGTGCTAGAGGAAGCTCTCAATCAAATTACGTGTAGACTTCCCACCGAGAATATATTTCAACATCTGTCAAAATTGAGCCCTTTGGCAGTTTTAAATCAAGTTTTCAGAGCTACAATTTTTACACCTGGCAGAAAACAACATCAGTATTATAGAAGAACAGTACAGAAAACTGATTGTTGTCAACTGGAAGGAAGAAGAAGCTACATTTAAGAAGGATGGATTACCTACAAACAGGGAAGATTTTTGAATAGGAGTACTTCGACACCAGGCATTTAAAGAGTCGGCCACTTTCGCCCTTACTTGCTTAATAATGCCCGTTAGCAATGCTGTAGTTGAGAGAATATTCTCTCTTGTCACTTCAACTAAATCAAAAGCAAGAAACAAAATACAACTGGATTTTCTTGATGCAGTTGTTAGAATTAGAGTAGAACTATTGATATCAAAGAAATGTTGCAACGACTTCATTCTATCTGAGAAAATGCTTAAAGATTTTACATCCGAAAAGGTTTATGCTGCATCTTCCACTGGTTCCAGTGAGGATGACAGTGAAGAATTCAAGCTAGAGCTTTTGATGTGAAGTCAGTACAATGTTACATTTTATTTGGCAATTTTCTGGCACATTTTGGGGGATGATTTGGCATAAAATGACGATTTTTATCTGGCAACCCTGGCAAGTCCGCGTATTTTTAATTGGACTGCGCCCCGAACGGATATTTCAGGCCACAATACTGCCGGGGTAGAAGTTCGGAGAAAAGCCCGTTTATCTTTTCCTCAAGTTGTTGATTGTATTCAAATCTTTGTTTCGTAAGAGATGCAAACCTTCTTGTTACTGTTGAAGATAGTTTTGGTTGTAATAGTTTTTACGATTGTCAATCCTAGGTGTTCCAAATGCATGTTGTAAAAATTGACTAGATTTGAACTCCGTAGTTGACAGGAGAGCCGAACTTCCTTCGAAGTCAGAGTGCATCTGCCTGAGACGTTTGGAACCAACAGTCTGCAAACAAATCAGTCAGTGCTGTTAGACAGATATGCACGCAACAGTCAGGTTCTGGAACGGGACTACAGTCCAGAAGTGGGCAAACAAACAAAACTTTCCGCCAGAGTTTACAGCCGGTCATCACGAAAAAGAAGAAGGCATTCTGTTTCCAGGTGGTGACTTAAAGTGTTTGTAGGTCTGTGTGTGATGGTAAATTTACCTAGCTGCTTTTAAAGCAACCTGTCATTTTCGTCGTCCCAATGTGGGACGCAATTGTACAGTTATTTTGAAGCACCACCCTGACTGTTGCGATGGAGGGGGGGGGGGGGCGCCTAATATCACCTAATGCTTGAAGGGTTTTCCGGGACCTCTCCGCGGGTGAACCTCATCCAAATGGTGGCACTTTATGTCACTGGGTGTTTATTGTTCTGTGTGATGTCTTGGTGGGGTTAAAACTACTTACTCTTAAATCAACCCACGAAGACAGACCTGAGACAGAAGAATAAAAATTACAGAACAGACCATGTCAGCCTAACCAGGTTTGGCAGAAATACCCAGATGAAAAATATCAGACTCAGAACGTGACACTGTAAACTCGGAGCATGTCCACATCAAACGGGTCTGGCTATCTGATGCATGTGACTGTGGCTCATCTAAGCAAACTTCAGAGCATGTCCGCGTGGAACGGGTCTGGCTAACTGCTGGATGTGACTGTGGCTCATCGAAGCAAACTTCAGAGCATGTCCACATCGAACCGGTCTGGCTAACTGCTGCATGTGACTGTGGCCCATTCAAGCAAACTTCAGAGCATGTCTTACAGGAATGTACTAATTTTGCCAGACAGAAGAAATCTGGACCACAGCTGCACCCCTACACGATCAACTATGAGGGCACTAGTCAAGACCCCAACTGCACCCCTACACGATCAACTATGTGGGCACTAGTCAAGACCCCAACTGCACCCCTACACGATCAACTATGGGGGCACTAGTCAAGACCCCAACTGCACCCCTACACGGTCAACTATGGGGGCACTAGTCAAGACCCCAACTGCACCCCTACAAGATCAACTATGGGGGCACCAGTCAAGACCCTTACTACACCCCTACACGATCAACTATGTGGGCACTAGTCAAGACCTTAACTACACCCCTACAAGATCAACTATGGGGGCACTAGTCAAGACCCCAATTGCACTGTTCTGTTTATGACCATGTTGGAATTGAAACATAGCAAACATTCACTGCTAAGAATGTTGTTCCTTTTGAACAATGATCAGAATACCAGTCTCATCTCGCCGACAAAATTTGTTGTTGATAATTCCCAGTTCTGTTTCATGCCGAGTGTGTCTAATGTATTGTGTGCACACTGTTCAGCCCCCATCTGCATCTCCAATGACCCATACATTCTGTTCTTCGTTTGCTTTCCATCTTCTATGATTCATAAATTCCATTCTTCTTTTACCTCTCATCTCCAGTGATTCATTCACTCCATTCTTCCATGGCCTCTCTTATAATTTTTCCTTTGCCTCCCATGATCCACACATTCCATTCTTGTTTTGCCTCAAATCTCCTATGATCCAAATATTCTTCCATTCTTCTTTTGTCTTGCATCTCCTAGAGGAACACAGACCCTTATCAAACTTACATCTAGCCCTTTTTTGACTTGTTTATTACTGACAGCATCTGCATCTAGTTTTCTAAAGGATTTCTCTCAAACAACCCTCCTTAGCGGCCTGTTGTGACATTCATGGTACGTTAGCCACCTTCTTCTTCACCTTCACCAGGTGTAACTCTGGCAGAAAGTTCTGGTTGTTCATCCACTTCTGGACTTTTATCTTGTTCCAGAACCTGAGTGTTGCATGCATATTTGTTTTACATATCTGGGTTATTTATTTATTTATGCAGATGGTTGGTTCCTCTCCTCTCAGGCAGATGCATTCTGACATTAAAAGAAACACCCCCATAGTCTTACCTCTGCCTGTTGGAGGTATTCTGGGTTATACCCCTCTCACCCTTTTCCATGTGGGGGGGGTTTAACCCACAAGGATGGTATGTTTGTGTTACCATTGTTTTTTTGCCACACAGGGTTGCCACACAGGCGTTTCACCATTGAGCATGAGCGCAAAACATAAGAATGACCACTAGAGGAGACTGCACAGTTGAGAAACAATTGTTTATTTCTCTGATAATTTCTATACACTTGTAGTGAGTAGTCCTTGCAACAGCCAGGTCACTTGAGACACCCAAGATCGAACATATAAACCATGAACAAATACGGCTACATGAGAAGCTACAGGATGTTTCAAAAAAGCTACTTGTGTACTCGGTATCAATGTCATTCACAATTACACTTTTTTCTTTCTTCTCCAACATCTTTAGGTTAAATACATCCACTTTCAGCAAACCTAGTTAGTCTTTCATGACATGCTTGTTGGCGAATAAAAAACCCAGCAGGTAGGTCTGTTTTATTTCCTCACCCAGGCTACTGGAACCCATACTGCAATACTGAAAGCAATCCTTGATCTTCTTCATTAACGGTACAGATGTACGTTGTAATTGACAGGCTTCAGGACTCCCATATTTTCTGTTTCAGTGTATGTAATATCTTTTCACAGGTCAAGTGGTCAAATACATTCGTTCTTTCACTGCTCATATATATATATATATATATATATATATATATATATATATATATATATATATATATCTATATATATATACACACACACTTCACATGGGAGCAGTTTGAAAAATAATCCTTTAATAAAAGAGTACATAACTCTGTTAACATACTAAAATATCATCAATGCTGCCCTTGTTTGTCTACTTGTGTGTGGGTGAGCACTGTCATGTTGAAGAACTGACATTTTGGCGCATCCAGCATATAGTCCTGATTTGGCACTTTGAGACTTTTTCCAAGTCCGAAAGCTCAAGGAACATTTCAAGGAAGCAGATACGCTTCTAACAAGGATGTGGCAACTGATGTATGTTCCTGGTTTTGTGAATATTGTCACACTTTTTCTCAATGGGTTTTGAAAACTTGATCCACACTGGCTCGTGTGTGTTTGTTGTATGTGTGTGTGTGGGGGGGGGGGGGGGGACCAGACTATGTCCTTACTTAAGGACATCCCAAGCTTTAAGAAAATGTATTTTCATGTGTAAATTACGAATATTAATATAGTTATGTCTTTGGAGACATTACTTTTCAAACCACCCTAGTATATATGTATATATATGTATGAACAGACATATATCCCTGCAGAGGACAGGAGAAATAAAGTGACAGGAACAGTCTATGAACCATAGAGGACACGTGAGGAGATCGGTACATAAAGGTTAATTGAAAATTCTAGTTATCCTCCAACAAAAATTATGTAAGGAATTCATGGTAAATGTTAACGATTTCTTGAGTTGATTCCTAGAATGTTACAGCCCTGAAAAAAAAAAAAACAATAAACATTAAAGTTAGAACAAACTGCAAAAATTATATTTGTAAATTATGAAACTGTAAAACTGCAAGTATTTCAACAAAAATCCAAATTCTCCAAATTCTAAAGTGTTAAAATAAGATGGGATTAAGACACAACTTCTAAGCTTGTTAATATTTTTATTTTTAATGAAGGCAAAAATGTTGGATAAAGTGGGAAAAAAAAATTGACACAGAAATCTGTTAGCTAAGTTGGAGAGTAAACTCTGGTAGCAGACACAGAGCTCATACTATGTGTAGACAAAAATCTGTAACGATTTGTCAAAGATAAAGAAAAAAAAACCAAAATACACTTGATTTCTAACGTCACTTGAAACTTGTTGACATTCACATATAGTGTAACATATACACACAAGATTCCTAGTGGACACTAAGATTTGTGCACTGAAATCATGGATGACACTGACATCAAATGATGCTGTTGTTGAACCTGGCTCTGCAAACAATAATTTTCCCCATACTTAGACACACAAGAGAAATGTCTGCACAACCACTGGTATTCAGTTATAAGACAAGGAAGTCGAGTTGGGTTGCGCTAAGTCAAGAATTGACATCACAGCATTCGGGACATTCCCATGTGTGCTCCTTCCTCATCTTCAGCAGCCAATGCAGATTTCCAATTCTCTTCAAGATGACGTCGAGTGCAGAGCATGTGCTCCGTAGATCCGGTGACAATTCTTATGAAATAATAAACTAAGACAAAGAAGATGGTGATATACTGGGCACTTCTGAGGATAGGAAAACAGAATCACCAAACAGGCACTTGAAATTGGAAACCTACAGACTGACAAAATGAGGACATCCAAAAGAAACTTTAAGATGAATGTTATAGAGATGGGCCTACAGTGCTTGACTGGATTCCATCCACGATATTGAAACAAGTGAACAGCATTAACAGAAGGGATAAATAAACTGTGACACACAAGCATAACCGGATGATGATAATGACGATCATACTTATATTCACTTAGCTCCCCATGTGGGTTTAGGGACCCCACTGTAGCCAAAACAAGAATAGACCCACTGCCACTCCTCCAATCAAGTTGTCAGAGTCGACTTATTGGGAGCTTCCTTCAAAGTCAGAGTGCTTCTGCCTGAGAGGCAAGGAACCAGCAGTCCGCATACAAATGAGTCAGATCTGTTAAACTGATGTGCATGCAATACTTAGGTTCTAGAACAGGATTACTGTTGAGAAGTTGATGAACAACCAAAGTTTCCACTGGAGTTTACAGATGTTGAACCTGGAGGAGAAGAAGAATATTCACTTAGCAAGCAAAGGCACAATGATTGTTAGCAGTTGTCTTTACTTGCTACCCCAATCTCTGATTATCTGCAACATTTTATGAACTATGCATGTTAAGCACATGAGAACCACAAGAAAAATGCATGACATAAGGACAACAACTGGCAACAGTGAAGAAACAATGCATGCAACCATTACCATGATGGAGAATCCAACCAAAGCTTCCTTCAGGACATCTCCCGTTTGCTCACACTGTGAATCACAAGCACAGTTCAATAAGACATGAATACGTGCAACAGCTACAACACATATGTGAGGAATGAATCAACTTACTACTGCTGGCATCCAGTGGTGGACAGTAACAAGAACATCACTGCAGGTATGTTAGGTCACAAGGCTATTATTCTCTGCTCTCTTGATAAGTGCTATATGGGCTATGTATTATGACTCCATCTTCCTAATATCTTATAGGTTGAGCATCTTGGATCACGACTACGAGCGCCATGACCAAACAACACTGACTGTCTCTTTCCTACAGTTGTGTATAGTTTTCTAATTTCATTAGCCTTGTCCAGCCAGTGACTGTTAGTCATTCTGCCTGTCCTCGGTACCATTACCAGACATACACCCCCCTCCCCCATCCCCAGATTATATGTGTACATTTGTTTTCAAGCCATTGCTGCCCTTTGAAATTAAGAGATTATTACCAGGCACCTGTCAACCTATTTCTTCATGCGGGTTCAGGAGTCTTATTTTGGATGAAAAAAGTATAGACCCCCCAGTAAGCATGCTGTAAAATACAACTATATACCTGTGCTATCTCAAAAATGAAGGCTAACTACAGAGTACTACTGCTGAGTTTGGAAATATCACTTTGTGAGGCCCCAATCTCTTTCATGCTGTGACTCTCGTATCACTGTCCTAAAACAACAACAACTTTTTATTACAACCGTCCACTGTGGGAATGAGCTGTAACATCACACCTTTCCTGGACATTACCTTGTACCCACTTTAGGTGGGGTCGTCGTGGTAGGCAAAATCAATGACAAATAAAATCTCAGGCAAAATCAATGACAAATAAAATCTGTCTCCATGCTAATTTGAACCAAAGACATTCAGGCTGGCAGGTGAGCAATGAGTCACTATGCCACTGCAACTTCCCAAAGGTCCCATAAGTGCAGATATTTACTTACTGATTTCTTGGCAGACCCAAACTTCTGCAGGTCTTTCAGTCTGTTGTCCAGGAATGCCCAGGTGTCCTGCTGGTCAGGTGACCTGTCCTGAATCATGTATGTTTCTGTCGCTGTGTAGACTGCCGCTAGCGACAAACGTTTTGTGTACCAGTTAAACTAAATGGAACAAAGCATTATGCATCCAATTAATACCTTCATCACTGACAATGCACAAAAACAGGATTTATACGTAGACATCTTCTACTCGACTTACAACATCTTCACTTATAATTAAAAAAAAAAAACCAAATAGTAAATTAAGAAAGAAAGACCACACTGGTAGGATCAACAAGTTCCAGGAACTGATGTAACAGAGTACATATTATGTATTTAAGACGAATACGAATAGTAGTTACCTTACACCCTCTTCTGCATACACGGCCTTAATGCTGACAACATGAACAATTGGATTTGTTGAAAGCTAATGCAGCTTTCCTGCATTAACTAAGCTGTCAGTGACATTTTCCAAGTTTAGTTACTTGCTATAATACTTAGGATTCTTTCATTCCTAGTTAATAGTTACCACAGACTGACTGAAGGATGTAAAACATTAAATGTTTTTAAATGTTTACTATTCTGTATGAATACTAGCAAGGCATGGAAAAAATATAAACTCTGGCCACATCGATAATATGAAAATCTAACGAACGGAAACATATAAGTACTTGGTTGCAAACCTCAACTGCTCCAACGTGCCAAGAGAAGAAATACAATCTAGAAATGAAGTAAACTACGCCCTTCAACATCCGCTACAGTCAAAGTGTGTGTCTCGCAACAGCAAGATCAAAATATATAAAACATTAATAAGACCAGTCGTTTTATATGGCTCTGAAACTGTAAGCAGAAATAAAAGAGATGAGGCCTTATTACAGGTCTTTGAGATATGTTGTAAAGTGTTAGATCCTCGAGATATGTTGTAAAGTGTTAGATCCTTGAGATATTTTGTGAAGTGTTAGATCCTTGAGATTTTTTGTGAAGTGTTAGATTCTTGAGATATGTTGTAAAGTGTTAGATCTTTGAGATATTTTGTGAAGTGTTAGATCCTTGAGATCTGTTGTAAAGTGTTAGATCCTTGAGATTTTTTGTGAAGTGTTAGATTCTTGAGATATGTTGTAAAGTGCTAGATCCTTGAGATATGTGAAGTGTTAGATTCTTGAGATATTTTGTGAAGTGCTAGATCCTTGAGATATGTGAAGTGTTAGATTCTTGAGATCTGTTGTAAAGTCTTAGATCCTTGAGATATGTGAAGTGTTAGATTCTTGAGATATGTTGTAAAGTGCTAGATCCTTGAGATATGTGAAGTGTTAGATTCTTGAGATATTTTGTGAAGTGCTAGATCCTTGAGATATGTGAAGTGTTAGATTCTTGAGATATGTTGTAAAGTCTTAGATCCTTGAGATATGTGAAGTGTTAGATTCTTGAGATATGTTGTAAAGTCTTAGATCCTTGAGATATGTTGTAAAGTGTTAGATCCTGGCATGCAAACAAGTGCAATATAGAACTACTTACATCAACTGATCTGTCACCAGCATAAAACCAAATGTCATCTGAGAGTTTCAGCAGATTGGAAAAAGCCTCTGAAACGTTTGGTGGTAGCGCTAGAATAGCCATTGCCTAAAAACAAAAACACACCTGCTCAGAAGCACAGTTACAATTTTTTAGGTGTCTGTACTTTCTGTGGCTATCTTGAAGCCACATTCTCGTTCTGTTTCTTCTTTATTAATCTGAGGATGTAACTGTGCTGAGCTTATTTACAGCGATATTTGCACCTTTCAGCTGACACACCAAACTTCTTCAGGTTTAATCCCATATGGCCATCTCTTTCTTTAGAACAGCTAGCCACTTCCTCAGAGCGTCGTACATAGCTCAAACTCTGCAAGTCTAGCAACAATTCACAGGGATCTCCATAAAAAAAAATAAACTCAAGAACTAAATGATATGTATGCAGTGAATCCATTATCTTCAGAGTGAGAGGTAAACAGCTTGACCAATTTGCCACAGAGACCTGTTGGTGTCAAAGGTATGTATCCAGGTTATGCAAGGGAAATGCCTGTACAACTGATTGGTAACGATTTACAACTACCAGGTGCTTTTCTGCATAAAGTGACATGGAAACTTGCAGTTTTTGCCATCTTCTAAGAACCTGACCCACTGTGACAGGAAGAAGGGAGATTACCACCACCAAGGTGCCTTTGGTTTTATTACAGTCACATTTTCTGCACAGACATATACTTTCAAAAGTCGTCTCACAGATCACACAAAAGACAGTCCCAGTGGAGAGAACACAGAAAAAGCATTAAGGCTTCAAATGTGGGCACAAGACACACTCAAGCTAAAAGTATCACATTTTTATGGATATGTGTTCTCACTTTTAAAAATCAGAAAAAGTGGTGAGCTATTTATCCTGCTCTTATTTCCAAACGTCAAATCATTTTTACTGATGACAATGTACACACAGCATCATATTTGTTGTTGACTATGTTTGAGAAAGCTAAATGTTTGACCCACCATCCTGAGGGGGAGGTATATCATCCTTTTCTTATTTTGTAAAACCTTTATCATCCACACTGTGGATTAAACCAGGTATGATAAGGTTCTAGGAAGTGTAGCCTACATTCAAGACACTGTGTCTCCTCTTGCCATGGATCAAACCCTATCTTCTCCAGTCGGAGGAAAGTATCTTATATCTGTCACCTCTCAGTACTGGGCTTTAGTTAAGCTGAATTAAGAACTGACATCAACGAACTTGGGACATTCCCATAAGTGCTCTGTCCTCATCTTCAGCAGCCATCACAGAGTTCCAATCTTGACGGCACCAGCAGCAGTATGATTATGTGTGCCTCTTGCATCTTCCCTGAGTTTTGAGTGTCGGCCGGGTTCCTTGACCATTCACTGCTGCACCATTCTCTTCAGCCCCGGTGGATCTCCCTGAGTTTTGAGTGTCGACCGGGTTCATTGACTATTCACTACTGCACCATTCTCTTCAGCCCGTCGATCTCCCTGAGTTTCTTCCCTGTTACCATGCTTCCAAAAGGCCTTGACAACATCTAGCTTGCCATGCATCCATCTATCACCAAGTAGTTCAGACCAGCCAGTCCGTCTGCCTATTTGTTGCCCAACACACCTGTATTCATGCAGAAAATATTGAAAGCTAACGACCCTGGACACCTGAAGATTCACTATTCTACTGAACTTTAAAATGTCTCTGCAGTCGAACAATTTTCTAAGAATTTAAAATTGTTACAACTCAGCATGACCAACACCAACCTGTGGCCATGTATCCAGGTACGGCACAATCATCCTCAGTCGAGTCTCCACTGCCTTCCTGATAAATGGCTTAGTAACTGGCTTTCTGTAACAAATACAAAACCAGTGTAAAATTAAAAACAACAAAGAACCAGTGTAAAATTAAAAACAATATACGGTCAGTGTAAAATTACAAATATCTTAGAGCTAGTGAAAATTTACAAATAATATAGTCTCAGTGTAAAATTATAAACATAAGGCCAGAGTAATATTACAAACATATAGTGTCAATTATAAACTACAGTGTCAGAAAGTAACATAAGATAGATAGCATGCAAATCTGAGAAAAACTGGCCAGAGAATCGGGTTAATGTCTTACGCTAGGCCTTGTGCTTTTGCTGCCTCCACCTCTTGCTTAAGAACGTCCACCAGCTCCGAATTGCTCTTGGTATAAAAGAAGTGAATCAGCTCAGCACCTCCACGGGAAAACATCCCATGTGCCACGGAAGGAAGGCCCTCGTCTCTAGCACCTACAATAGAACAATTAAAATGAATGTCTTTGGTTAAAAAATGTCCTCATTTACCAGTTCTATGCAAGTAAGAATGTTCACAATAATAATGGGAATAGGAGCAACGCAAACACTAAATCTGAGGATGAAGCCATGGACTGAAAGATGACATGAGACTGCAATTATAAACTGAGAAACCACTGCAGCTACAGACCAAGGAACTATCTGAGAATAAACCTACAGACTCAAGAATCAGGCGAGAAGGAAACTGTAGACTGAAGCAAAATGTGAGAATGAAGCTGTAAATTGATTAAATGAAGGAGAATGAAACTGTAAATTGATTAACAATGTGAGAATTTTTGATTAACCATGTAAGACTTAAATGTAAACTGACTAAACATGTGAGAATGAAACTGTAAACTGAAGAATCATGTGAGAATGAAACTACAGACTGAAGAACCACAGGAGAATGGAACCAAACTGATTAAGCATTTGAGAATGAAACTATAGACAGAAGAATCATGTGAGAATGAAAATATAGACTGAAGAACTATGTCAGAATGAAACTATAGACCGAAGAACCATGCAAGAATGAAACTATAGACCGAAGAATCATGCGAGAATGAAACTATAGACCGAAGAACTATGTCAGAATGAAACTATAGACTGAAGAACCATGTGAGAATGAAACTATAGACTGAAGAACCATGTGAGAATGAAACTATAGACTGAAGAACCATGTGAGAATGAAACTATAGACTGAAGAACCATGTGAGAATGAAACTATAGACTGAAGAACCATGTGAGAATGAAACTAGACTGAAGAACCATGTCAGAATGAAACTATATATTGAAGAACTATGTCAGAATGAAACTATAGACCGAAGAACTATGTCAGAATGAAACTATAGATTGAAGAACCATGTGAGAATGAAACTATAGACTGAAGAACCATGTGAGAATGAAACTATAGACTGAAGAACCATGTGAGAATGAAACTATAGACTGAAGAACCATGTGAGAATAAAACTATAGACTGAAGAACCATGTGAGAATGAAACTATAGACTGAAGAACCATGTGAGAATGAAACTAGACTGAAGAACCATGTGAGAATGAAACTATAGACTGAAGAACCATGTGAGAATGAACTATGGACTGAAGAACCATGTGAGAATGAAACTATAGACTGAAGAACCATGTGAGAATGAAACTATAGACTGAAGAACCATGTGAGAATGAAACTATAGACTGAAGAACCATGTGAGAATGAAACTAGACTGAAGAACCATGTGAGAATGAAACTATAGACTGAAGAACCATGTGAGAATGAAACTATAGACCGAAGAACCATGTGAGAATGAACTATGGACTGAAGAACCATGTGAGAATGAAACTATAGACTGAAGAACCATGTGAGAATGAACTATGGACTGAAGAACCTTGTGAGAATGAAACTATTGACTGAAGAACCATGTGAGAATGAACTATGGACTGAAGAACCATGTGAGAATGAAACTATAGACTGAAGAACCATGTGAGAATGAACTATGGACTGAAGAACCATGTGACTGTAGATTAACATGGTCAAAATGAAATTATATACCAATTAACAGTGTGTGAATGAAATAATATGCCGAAAGACCAACAAGCAACAGTAACCCATAAAGCTATAAGCACGATGGTGAAATTCTCAAGAATCTCTCACACTTACCTGCTTCAAGGGCCTTTCTTGTCCAGCCATGTTCATGAACATGTCGAAGAGATGCCAGCAAAATTCGTTGCCTGACTTCATGCTCATACTCATGCTCATTAGATTTAGACTGAGGAGATTCCTGGGTGAACTTCTCATGTGAGCTGTAAATAGAGAACATCATCATCATCACAAAGCCGTTAAGTTGCACTGTTGTCAGGGGACCATAAGTTTAAATTCCCAAAGACTTTTAAAACTGACCCAGCTTAAAAGGGAACCAAGAAATGATCCTCTCTGCTTTTTTACTCTTTCCTCTCTAGGGGCAAAACATTTGGCATAATACTAACCGCATAACCTTCTTTTTGTTGTTGCTGGTAAGTCTTTAGAAATATTAAGACCAAACCAACACAATCCAAGAGGTGAAGATGGCTCTTTTACTTTATAAATTATCCTGGAAACTGTAAATCACCAAATTCAGTTAGAAATAAAGACTGAAATGGTTCAGCCACCTAGTGAACATCAAACCAACAGTGCCAGCTGTGAAAGCATGCAGAATGACAATGGAAACTGCCAATTACTGGCTTCATTCTACCACTTCTGCTGTGTAGGCTGGGGGCAGTCTTTGAGCCTGAGGATTTACGGCCACATGGCTAGAGCTGTCGCCACGACTGTGCAGGTGAGGATTTTATTTTGCCCCCGACAGAAACAAATCGAAAGCCCCACAGGATTCGAACCCGGGTCTCCTGCGTTTAAACTGTTCAGCCAGCTGCTCCTCCAAAATGCTAACACCAAGAGAAATGATAAGTTTATAAATCAATAGCTGAGAAATGATAAGTTACAGATATATAGCTGAGAAATGATAAGTTACAGATATATAGCTGAGAAATGAAAAGTTACAGATATATAGCTGAGAAATTATAAGTTACAGATATATAGCTGAGAAATGAAAAGTTACAGATATATAGCTGAGAAATGAAAAGTTACAGATATATAGCTGAGAAATGAAAAGTTACAGATATATAGCTGAGAAATGAAAAGTTACAGATATATAGCTGAGAAATGAAAAGTTACAGATATATAGCTGAGAAATGAAAAGTTACAGATATATAGCTGAGAAATGAAAAGTTACAGATATATAGCTGAGAAATGAAAAGTAGGGAGAAATGAAAAGTTACAGTATATATATCAGTGAGAAATGAAAAGTTACAGATATATATAGCTGAGAAAATGAAAAGTTACAGATATATAGCTGAGAAATGAGAAATATATAGCTGAGAAATAAGTTACAGATATATAGCTGAGAAATGAAAAGTTACAGATATATAGCTGAGAAATGAAAAGTTACAGATATATAGCAGTGAGAAATGAAATGAAAAGTTACAGATATATATAGCTGAGAAATGAAAATGAAAAAAGTTACAGATATATAGCTGAGAAATGAAAAGTTACAGATATATAGCTGAGAAATGAAAAGTTACAGATATATAGCTGAGAAATGAAAAGTTAGATATATAGCTGAGAAATGAAAAGTTAGATATATAGCTGAGAAATGAAAAGTTACAGATATATAGCTGAGAAATGAAAAGTTACAGATATATAGGTGAGAAATGAAAAGTTACAGACATATAGCTGAGAAATTATAAGTTACAGATATACAGCTGAGAAATGAAAAGTTACAGATATATAGGTGAGAAATGAAAAGTTACAGATATATAGCTAAGAAATTATAAGTTACAGATATATAGCTGAGAAATTATAAGTTACAGATTTATAGCTGAGAAATGAAAAGTTACAGATATATAGCTGACAAATGATGAGTTACAGATATATAGCTGAGAAATGAAAAGTTAGAGATATATAGCTGAGAAATGAAAAGTTAGAAATATATAGCTGAGAAATGATAAGATATATAGCTGAGAAATGATAAGTTACAGATATGTAGCTGAGAAATGAAAAGTTATACTTAGCTGAGAAATGAAAAGTAATAGGTACATAGCTAAGACATGATAAATTATAGATACATAGCTGGGAAATTATAAGTTACAGAAACATTGCAGAGAAATCGTAACCTCACTTATGCTGACTGTGTGAGTTGTGTCCCCTCTCTTGTGTGTCATTTGCCTTCTGGAACGAAGTTGTGGCAAATGTGCAACTGCCTAAACATCTGGAGGCAGATAACACTAAAGGATTGTGAGAAAAATCAATAGATTACTTTATACAAAGCTAATGAAACCAGATAACAATAGAGTTAGACTATTCATTTGGCGGCCCATGGGGTGAAGTAGTCCACTGATCACTGCCAACTATATTGTATTAATGATCGGCTATCCTCCGAATAAAAGTCCTAAATTATCGAGGCAGAAAATATACCCTAACAGGGCCTCAGTCACATGTCAATTGAGCACTTCCGTCGTCTTAAATTGTGAGCTTCCGGCGACTTCCGCCACCGCCGAGAGTATCCCCCACGCCGCTCTCGTGGCGTGGATTGGGCTAAACAAGATGGCTAGGACTCACGAGAAGCAGCTACCGCATCTCCTGCAGCTTCCTTCGTTGTATTTGCTCATGAGTCCTAGCCATCTAGTTTAGCCCTGATCCACACCGCGGGCATAACTTCCGCGGTGGCGGAAGTGCCTGAAGTTCCCAATTCGGCGGTGGCGTTATAGTCCCTGGAAGTGAGCAACTGACATGTGACTGAGGCCCTGTTAAGGTATATTTTCCACCTCGATAATTTAGAACCGTTATTCGGAGGATAGACTAATGATCTTTCCATTCTTGGGCTTGGCCTCTGGCAATCTCTGTTTTCCACAATGTAGCCCCATAGTAAACTCAGATGAATAGCCCTACACTAAAGGATGGTGAGAAAATGAATAAATCTATTCTATGTAAGTCATACACAGGTAAAAGAGGCAGACAACACTAAAGGATGGGGAGAACATGAATCAAGAATTGACATCAGTGCACTTTGAACATTCTGACATGTGCTCCGTCTCCTTCCTCAGCAGCAAGAGGTGACTCATAAATATGCCACACACAGTGCAAACAGTGACATGAAAATACCATCACAGCCATGTGCAGTGACTGCCTCCTGTGGATTCTAGAGACCCACTGTCGGCTGTGGAAAGGGGGGGGGGGTGGTAGATAGCAGACCCCGTCCCCCAAGAAGCATGTAGTGAAAGTAAACTTATTAGGGGTGTTTCCTTCGGTGTCAAGAGTGCATCTGCCTGAGAGGTAAGGAACCAACAGCCTGCATACAAAATAAGCTGTATCTGGAAAATGAATGTACATTCAAAATTCAAGTTCTGCAACAAGACTAAAGTCCAGAACTGGATAAAAAAAAAAAAAAAAAAAAATTTCTACCTTGGAGTTTGTAGCAAATGAACAAAGAAGATGTGCAGTGCTGATAAGCACAGGCTATCATGTTTTGTCATCTCACATGATCACCAATAATCACAGATCATGTCAGTGTTCTTGTCTCGCTCAATCCATGCACCTAAGCCATCCATGTATTCTTCTCTTTGACGTTCACAGGCTGTAAGCTCCAGCTGGAATATTTAGCTCTCGTCCCAGAAGTTGTGATTATTATTTATGGCTATCCTTCGAATAACGAGCAAATATTATGGCGGCCAAAAACAGGGTCTCAATTACATGTAAATTGTGGACTCCCGGCGACTACCGCCAAGAGTATCTCCCATGCCGCTACACGTGGTGTGGATTGGGGCTAAACCAGACGGCTGGGACTCACGAGCAAAGCTGCAGGAGATGCGGAAGCTGCTGCTTGTGGGTCCCAGCCATCTAGTTTAACCCCAATCTACACCATGTGTAGTGGCATGAGAGATGCTCTCGACGGTGGCGGTAGTCGCTGGAAGTCCGCAAATTAAGTCGCTGGAAGTGCGCAATTTACATGTAACTGAGGCCCTGTTAGGTGTTTTTGCGACCGCCATAATATGTGCCCGTTATTCGGAGGATAGCCTTATTTTTTTATTTGTATGCAGACTGTTGATTCGTCAGATACACTCCTGACTTTGGAGGAAACCAGGTATTTATCTATGTGCGGTAGTTTGCTAAGTGAACTACCTCCTTTCCTTGGCTATCCTCCGAATAATAGGCGGTAACAGGATCATTAGTCCTAGATGGCTTGGACTCACGAGCAAAGCTTCAGGAGATGTGGAAACTCTGCTCGTGGGTCCTAGACATCTAGTTTAGCCCCAATCCACACCACGTCAGCGGCGTGGGAACCCTCCGGCGGTGGCTGAAGTCGCCGGAAATCGCAAATTAAGTAGCCGAAAGTGCGCAATTGACACGTGACTGTGGCTCGAACGGATATTTTGCGGCCGCTCTCTTTACCGCCCGTTATTCGGAGGATAGCCCTTTCCGCTTTATCTCACTACACTGTAGTGTAACGTTTGTAACTCACTGATTATGGAAACTGTGTGAATAGAAAATGATGCGAAATATAACTCCCATGATGTACTGCGAATAAGTGAAGCGAACATTTAAAACACCCTTTACCTGTTGCATTCCGTATAAGTGAAGACGAACAGAGCTGAAACATTCTTCGAGCAGAGGACAAACTGCAGACGGCGACCGCCATGACTGCGACGGTTAGTTGGTTCAGTTCCTTTTCAAAAACAAACAAACAAACAAATTGGTTTTAACAGTCGTCACACGCTGGGGAGATAAGCAAAAGATGGGACCCGAGTGCTTAAAGACTTGTTCGATGGGCAGTGAGGATAATTTGTCGATTGACTAATTAACTAACTTTTCCCCAATATAAAAGGTGCAATTTATGCTCCAAGTTTTTTGTTTCGGTCCAAGTTTTTAGTTTTCTCTGTTTTACCGTCATCATCATCATCATGTGAACGGTCCCATGTAAAACAACTCTTTCATACGTTATTTCCCAGAAAATAGTTTTTTTTACATATATAAAAATTGCATATATTAAAATAAGCAGCTAAAAATCATTAGTAACAACATTGACAATATTTGCTGCAGTATTCAAAGTTGTGTGGTTTTTACCTCGAGACTGTTTTGTTTAAAAATGGCGATGTACGAGATTTTCTCCCACCCAGAACTCCGGCGTTACAAGACTTCAATCTTCTCCAAAGCTACCCTGCTTATGTTAGCTATTTTAATCTTGACCTTCATACCCCCTTTGTTGATTGTGTACAGAAGCTATGGTATAGTATTTACTTTTGTTTACATATTAACAGAATACTTCACCTCACAAGCAGTAACTAGGCTATGTCCCGTCGTGTTGAATCTTGTCCATTGTCAACTTTAACAGTTCACATATTTGTCATTTATTGGAGATCTCTTTGGTCACAGAAACAGCAAAAGAAGGAAATTCAAAGACATTGATTGGCGTTCTTAGAAGGGGTGGAATGACTTCAAGATTATTGGACACTAAATGATTGATGATATTATATAAATATGGAAAGCTATTCCTTTAGACCCTTAGTCTAGTGATTTAAATCTGCCGCTCCCATCTGATGACGAAGCATTGCTGTTGGAACACTCAGACATTGATGCACGTCGAGTAGACTTCCATAAAAATCAATGTTTTCATTAGTCAGACATGTTGAGGATCATGACCAGATCCACTGTTGCTCCGCTAGACCATTCTCTTCAGACCATACTGTATGTGTCTTTGCATTGTTAACTTATTCACAAAGGCCCATGATAATAGAGTTGTCATCACTAGATATACAAATTCAGTCCAAAAATATGTGCGATATCAAAAAGAATGTTAGGCTATCCTCCGAATAGCAGTCGTAAATTATCGAGGCGGAAAATATACCCTAACAGGGCCTCAGTCATGTGTCAATTGCGCACTTCCGGGGACTATAACGCCACCACCGAATTGAAACTTCCAGCAACTCCCGCCACCGGCGAGAGTGTCCCCCACGCCACCTTAAACTAGATGGCTGGGACTCACGAGCAAATAAAATGAAGGAAGCTGCAGAAGATGCGGTAGCTGCTGCTCGTGAGTCCTAGCCACCTTGTTTAGCCCCAATCCACGCTGCATGAGCGGCTAAGGGGAAACTAACGGCAGTGGTGGAAGTTGCCAAAAGTTCACAATTCGGCGGTGGCGGAAGTATTTTAAGACGAGGGAAGTGCGCAATTGACATGGGACTGAGGCCTTGTTAGGGTATATTTTCCGCCTCAATAATTTAGGACCGTTATTCAGAGGATAGCCGAATGTTAATTTTATTTGCAAGTTTATTTAAGTTAGTAAGCAAAGATGTAAAGTAAAAAGTCTTCAATTATTTCCATATTTTTTTAAAAAATTGTTAACCCCAAAACTAAACAGTGAAATCGATCCTGCAGACTGCAGTATTAATCTTTTATGCAAAGATTCATTTAAAAAAATGTGGGGTAAATAGACCTGTAAATAAAATTGACACCACCTGGGAAATGTTTCAGCTTCAAACAAAGACGACCTGTTCTGGACAAATTAGTATATAGTGCAGCCATGGTTGCCACGCAAGAAACACGTTTTAACTCTTAAAAATTAGATGAAATCTTGAGTGGGTGAAGAAATGTCTGAGCAACCCCTGATAGCAACAGTTATAAGATAAAGAAGATAGTGCTGTATTAAACACATCCTGAGAAGAAACCAGCAGAGAATCTTTAAACAGGCACTGAAAGGGGAAATAAAGTGGTTAAGGAAGTGAGGACGTCCAAAAGAAACTAAATGAATGTTGAAGATTGAGGCCAAAGCTGCTGGACTGGATTTCATCTGTGATTGGAAGGGTTAGCACAGAATAGAACACAATGGAGAAATAGACTGTGAGTCCAATAGGACATATAATGGCACATCAAGACAATGAATGAATGAAATCCAACTGTGCTAGTTGTGTTGCTTCAAAAGGAAAATGTTAAGGATGTTAACTGAAGTCCTTATTGATGGCACCTGGCTTTTCATCTACCCATTGAAACAACACCAAAGTCATCTTATGAGGCAGTAGTGTCTGGAGAAGGCTGTAACAGGTTTGATGATTAAGTGCATTAGATAGAGATGAACAGAGGGAGAGGATACAGGATGGGTTGGCAAAGTCACACAGAAGACAATCTATAATCAGCATTCATTACAGAATGGGTTGGCAAAGTTACACAGAAGACGATCTATAATCAGCATTCATTACAAGTGTTTAACTGAATGGCTTACATGTTCTTCTGCTATTTATCATGTAGTGGAGCTTAGGTCCCTAGAGCTTACACCTTCAGAGCTTATGCCCTCAGATCTTAGGTCATCAGATAAACTCAAAAATCATCTTTCATCATCTCCTGCCGCTCCCTCCATTTTCTTCTTATAATCTTTATCTTTTCAGTATATTTTTAGAGCTCCCTCTGCTTCTGTGCACCATTGCTTCCACTGAGATAAATTATGGTTATATTATTATCATGTTTTCTTCATGTCTGTTCTATCCAGAGTCATCATCTTTCCCTCATCTCTTGGTTTTGCTTGAAATTATCTAGTTCTCTCCATAAGCTTCCCAATAATGATTCTATCTTACCAAGTTAGTCCTTCTGTCTGTGCAGGCACCACAACTAATGAAATTCATTTGTTTTAAACAAAACAAAAATATAGGTTTTCTTAGCCCCAGTACCAGGAAGTGACCAAGAGATCTGGTCGACACTCAAAACTCAGAGGAAAGGCAAGACAGACATACAGTTAGATTACTGTGAGTGTCATAGGAATTAGATCTCTTAGGAAGATGGGGACAGAGCACTTTTGGGAATGCAGTGACTGCTGTGATATTAGTTCTAAACTGAACTTAACTAAATACCTGTCAAGAATAATCTTCATCTTCCAATAGAATGTTCCCGCTGACTTTTGCATTTGCTGTTGGTTGTAGTGCATTTTTTATTTGTAGGATTCTGGTTGCGTGAAGCCACATACAGAGAACAGCCTCGTGTGGCATTCAAGAAGGAATTTATTTTAATCCTGGACCTTCAGAATGGCCAAAACCCAGTTGTATACAGTACTTTTCAGCACTACAACCAGCTAGTTCAGTCCTACCTACGTATACCTGTTGTCAAGGTAAATCTTTACTGTTTGAAACCAGACTTAATGTAAATGCTTGTTTAAACTTCTCTATACACAAACAAATGACAGCAGAATACATTGTAGGCTATTGTTAGAAATCATATATCATAAACTTCTCCATACATGGGCAAATGACAGTAGAAAACATTGTAGGCTATTGTTAGAACTCATGTATCATACACTTCTCTACACACAGACAAATGACAGTAGAATATATCATAAGCTATTGTTTAAACTCAAATATCCTAAACTTCTCTATACACAGACAAATGACAGTAGAATATATTATAAGCTATTGTTTGAACTCATATATCATAAACTTCTCTATACACAGACAAATAACAGTAGAATATATTGTAGGCTATTGTTAAACTCAAATATCATAAACTTCTCTATACACAGACAAATGACAGTAGAATATATTGCAGGCTATCGTTAAACTCAAATATCCTAAACTTCTCTATACACAGACAAATGACAGTAGAATATATTGTAGGCTATCGTTAAACTCAAATAACCTAAACTTCTCTATACACAGACAAATGACAGTAGAATATATTGTAGGATCGTTAAACTCAAATATCCTAAACTTCTCTATACACAGACAAATGACAGTATAATATATTGTAGGCTATCATTAAACTCAAATATCCTAAACTTTTCTATACACAGACAGATGACAGTAGAATACATTGTAAGCTATTGTTAGAACTCATATATCATTAACTTCGCCAATAAATGCAGGGGTTGGTTTGAGATGTCTTGTAGAACATGCGCAACTAACTTTTTGAGATTCTATTATCTATGCTTAGAGTTATGATGGTAAAAAGATTCCAACTTTACATTTTAAAGCTGTGGCTGGCTAAACAGTTTGAATGTGGTTTAGAAAACAGAGCACGCAGTTCTGTGCAGCAGGTTTAGAAGGACTGATAAAACGACAAGACAAGTGCATCAATGTTGGTGAAAATTATGTTGAAAAATAAAGGGACAGTGTATGTGTAAAAATAACCGGTTTCCGAGTTGTTATTGTCTTTAATCTTTTCTAAACAATCACTTGTGACTTACTTATTGACTTACCCTCTTATGACAAACTTCTCTACGGGCAGGCAAGAGAAGAGGACATCAATGGGGATGGCAAGTATGATAGTCTCAGCCTTGACATTGATGTACCGATGAACGCAGCAGACCAGGTCGTTGGTGTCAAACTAGTCCTCTTTTTCTACTACAAGTTGAGGGTGAGTACTGTGTGGGATCTGGGGTGAGTACTGTGTGGGATCTGGGGCGAGTACTGTGTGGGATCTGGGGTGAGTATTTTGGGATCTGGGATGAGTACTGTGTGGGATCTGGGTCGAGTACTGTGTGGGATCTGGGGTGAGTACTGGGTGGGATCTGGGGTGAGTACTGTATGGGATCTGGGGTGAGTACTGTGTGGGATCTGGGGTGAGTACTGTGTGGGATCTGGGGTGAGTACTGTGTGGGATCTGGGGTGAGTACTGTGTGGGATCTGGGGCGAGTACTGTGTGGGATCTGGGGTGCCTGTACACAGAATCAAGTGTATCATGTACATCAGGACTATTCAACTGATGGCCTGTGGAACGAATCTGGCCCACCCATGCCTAGCAAGGAGCTTATTGCCAGCAAATTTGTCCTTGTGATCTTCCTATGCTTAGGTGTGGCCTCTAGCCCTCAAAGATCCTTATATTAACATTCTGGCCTCTGTGTTGTCACTTGACAAAAACTGTACAGCATGTCGATGCTAGCACTGAGGTTAACAGAGGAAATGTTACTGTGTAACCAGCTTATCCTGGGCACAGTGAGGAAAGGTTCTTTGAAATTTCTGCTGCATTGGAGGTCTGTGCACATATGTGAATGCCCAGCGTGTGCTAACGGTCTTGATTTTCTTCTCCTTTTCTCCAACTGCCTATACCACAAAGTTTCACAGAGAGAAGTTGGATGTAGTCTCCTATATATGTTAGTCGCATAGCTTTTGTTGATGTCATATTGCTGTTTTGTAGTGTCTGTTTGACTCCCTCCACACATATCTACTGTTTTGTAGTGTCTGTTTTACTCCTTCCACACATATCTACTGTTTTGTAGTGTCTGTTTTACTTCCTCCACACATATCTACTGTTTTGTAGTGTCTGTTTGACTCCCTCCACACATATCTGCTGTTTTGTAGTGTCTGTTTTACTCCCTCCACACATATCTACTGTTTTGTAGTGTCTGTTTTACTCCCTCCACACATATCTACTGTTTTGTAGTGTCTGTTTTACTCCCTCCACACATATCTACTGTTTTGTAGTGTCTGTTTTACTCCCTCCACACATATCTACTGTTTTGTAGTGTCTGTTTTACTCCCTCCACACATATCTACTGTTTTGTAGTGTCTGTTTGACTCCCTCCACACATATCTACTGTTTTATAGTGTCTGTTTGACTCCCTCCACACATATCTACTGAATTATAGTGTCTGTTTGACTTCCTCCACACATATCTGCTGTTTTATAGTGTCTGTTTGACTCCCTCCACACATATCTGCTGTTTTATAGTGTCTGTTTGACTCCCTCCACACATATCTGCTGTTTTATAGTGTCTGTTTGACTCCCTCCACACATATCTGCTGTTTTTTAGTGTCTGTTAGACTTCCTCCACACATATCTGCTGTTTTGTCCACCTCTTTCCTTGTAGCCTGCAGTGCTCATGTAGTACACTCTAGCTGCTGGCTGATTTGTTTTACTCTGACCAGATGACCAAACCATTTCAATCTTTGATTTTCTGTGAAATCATTTACCAGCACTGTGCCTGTCATTGTTCTTAGTTCTTCACTTGTAATCTGTCTCTTCTTGTTTCCTTGCCTCATTTCTTATACATCTCATCTCACGTACTGTAATTTTATGTTTATTTTTTTCTATGACTGTCCATGACTGGCATTGATATCACAAGATTTGTATAAAAAGCAACTTATAACCTGTTTTTATGTGTGTATGTTGATATTTGATAGCGTAAAGTATAACTACATAAATTAACATAAGAAAGCTGTGTCTTTGATATACAGAATACTGCCAGCTAACGTTGTCCCCATATGGGATGCAATTTTTCGTTATTTTGAAGCCTCACCCCGGCTTTTTCGGCGGCCGCAGTATATCCTAAAGGCTGAACACGGTTTCTGGGACCTCTACACGGGTGATCCTCATCCGTATGGTAGCACTTTATGTCACCGATGCTTATCGCTCTGTGTGATGTCCTGGTGGAGTAATATTTACTTGCTTACTTACTATATACCCAATTATATATTTGATCCCTTATTGAATTCAACCTACATATCTCTGGCAGAGGTTTTCACAGTTTCACATGGAGTCTCTGGGCTACATCGACTACAGCTCTTCGGTTCCTGGAGGTAGCCTTCAAGTTTTCTCCGATCTGAGGCTGAGACAGAAACAGTTGCTAGGATACAGAGGCACAGACACTCGCTACAATGTCAGATTCCAATCCATTTTTAATAATAATTATATTGATGTTCTCATGTAGTTTTCTGGCAACATTGCAGGCTCTGTAGTTATGTAAGATTGAAATAAACAAATATTTGTTGTTAGTTTTCACAAGAATCAAGTGCTGATCAGGTGTGAATGTTCTTTTTGATCAAAAATAATTTTTTTTGGGTTTTGTTTGTGTTTCGTTTTGTTTAAAAAAAAAAAGGGGGGGGGGGGGGGGGGGAAGTGCAAAATGGATAAAATACCTGTTCTGTTTCAGATATACTGGAAATACATCACTGACATACAACTGTCGATTTTTGATAATTTAGGTTAATTAAATTCCCAGTGTGGGTTTCAGCACCCTGTTGGGGGGGGGGGGGGGGGGAGGGGGGGGGGGGGGAGGGGAGGGGGATTGACCCACTGCTCCTTAACACGCATGTTGTTAAAGTGACCAAATAAGCATTTGTGGAACTTTATTATTTTTGGCCGTAAGGGACAGATATCACAGCTTAGCTGTTAACCACAACGCATTGCACCACAGAATCTAGATTGCATTGTAATGATAGAAATTCTGCCAATCATTATTTGAGTCCAAATATGACTCCCAATCATTATTTGAGTCCAAATATGACTCCCAATCATTATTTGAGTCCAAATATGACTCTGCCACCGATGTGTAACTGTAAAGTCCCAGCCCTCAGCAGTGCTACTGTTAGGCCAATATCAAGAAGCATATAGCACACTGGAACGGTAATTGCAGAGCCCTATGTGACAGATACTAGCACAACAGGACAATGATGTTGATGATAATGATTGATCTCAACACCTATTGTCAATTAGTGGGTCCTGTTCACGTTTCCCTGCCCATCTGCACACTATCTGACTTTTCATTCATACTTTCTTAGGCTCTTCTATGTTGGAGGGGTGTCACGATTCTTCCCTCCATTTACATCAGCACTAATGTTGCGTGTTCTATACTACACGACACCACAGCTTTTAACGACCCCAGAACATGTTGAACTGGCTCTAACCCAAACACACAGCCTCAGCATAGGTCACACAAGAGACTCTTTTCAAAGAAAGCATTGCTACATGACACCCCTCTGACCTAGATCAAACTGAGCAAGTGTGTAGATGGGCCGGGAAACGTGAACAGGTCTAATTAGTGTATCATAGTATCGTGCTAGCATCATATGCCAAATATATCCAAGAAAGAAAAGAATTTTCCCCCATTGATTACAATAAAAAAATAAACACAAATAACAATTCCGTCTACACCATGTATGTCTCGGGACCCCATTCAGGGGAAACAAGAATAGACCCACTGCCTCCCCAAAAGCATCTTGTGGGAATTTATTAACTGGTGCCTTCTTTCATAGCTGGAGTGCATCTGCCTGAGGGGCAAGGAACCAAGAGTCTGCATTCAGATAATTAAGATCTGTAAAATGGATATGCATACAATACTGAGGTTCTGGAGCAAGACTGAAGTCCAGAGGTAGACCCCCTCCCCCCCCCCCCCCCCCCCCCCCCCCCCCCCCCCCCCCCCCCCCCCCCCCCCCCCCTCCCCCATTTTTTAAAGAAAAACTGAACACAAAGAAGAAGAAGAATGGCCTTTTACCATTGAAGTCTGTATATGAATTTTTCTGATGCTGCTCCTCAGAATACGTTGGTAGATCCGGCAAGTCCATATGCTGAGACGTATTCATTAGCAAGCATTTTCAAAGCCTATAGCAGTCGAAATGGTACGTCTAAACTTGTTATTTAAACAGTGTTGCTTAGACAGCTGTAGAGAGATGTGGTTTCTTCATTATTGCATGTTGCATTTTTTTATTTCTGTATGCAGATGCAAGAAAAAGACTGTAAGCTTATTATTTGATTCAGCCCAGCTCAGGACATTCAAAGTCAGAGAAGGTTTTTGCGTCAAACTAAGAAACCAGCTTGAGGTGTTTATCTGTCCGAGACAGCAAATATTGAAGATGAACGGGCACGGTCTAAAGATTTGTTTTGCAATGCAGCCCAGAAAATACTTGGTATGAAGAAACATATGAGAGAGAAATAGATATCTGAAGAATCTTGGTCAAAGATAGAAGAAAGAAAAATGCAAAAAGAGTATATGGGTGCTAGGGTGTAAAGTGAATGCCGACTAACACTAACCCTAACCCCCAACCCCATAATATTGGACTTTTCCGGGAACTCCCCATGAAGGCTCAGAGTTCCTGATATGTGATGAACAAAAAAAAGTACTGTTACCTGGGACCCTGAAGGGAGCTGTGAATAATTTACTTATTACTTGTCCATATAGATGTCCAAGCACATGGGTGCGACCCATTCGTGCTCTGTCTAGGGATGCAGCAGCCATCTCATTGTCTGCATGCTCACTGTACCAAGTAGGAGTTAATTGACACATCTTCTTTCTTTGCTCTGCCGCCTGTTTCTGCACGCTTGTTCTCGTTTAATACTCATTTGCAATAGTTTATCATCTCAGACTTTTTTATCTCAATGTCTGTGGAACGCACACAGCAAGTCTGTCAGCCTTTTCATTTCATTTCATCCTGACTTGTCTTGGTGTGTACAGCCAAGATAGTTTCTTGAGTGGGGCTTCTGGATGCTGTCAGCAAATAGTATAACACTAACCTAACATGCATGTCATAAGAGAGGAGGAGGGTTGGTATCAGTAGCTGTCTGATCCCATAGAACACTAAGCTGCAAAATCCAGCCAGTCATTGCCAGGTTTTCAAAGTACTGCATGAGTTGGTTGGTGACTTATAATCCGTTGGGAGATGACAGACAGGTGGAAAATGAACACACAGATACTTTAGATGTAGTACTGATTTGATAAGTTTAAATGTGCTTATTGGGAGTTGCCATGGCATTGGCTGCTAGACGCCCACCTGCAGATTGGAAGGTCGTGGGTTCGCATCCTAACAAAGCCGGACTTAAACAGCAAAAATAACCTTGACTCCCAGGTCAACCCAGCCTTGGGTGGGTACCAGAAACAGTCCTGGGAAGTAAAGGTGGCCGGCATGATGCTGACTACATCACCCACCAAAAGCGGATTGGTCTATAAAAATATAGGTCCAGCCCTATATGCCCTATACGCCTAAAGGCGCAGGGAAAAGGGTCCTTTACTTTTAACTGTAAATGTGCTTATTGGTTAACACAGCTTCATTTGACATTTTCTGCAGTGACAACACTTCTCCAAGATCCAATGAAAATATGGTCTGCAGGACGGGCTGGAGATTCCCCCTTTAGGGTATCTGTTCTCGTCAACTACCCAGAAGAAGTCATCTCGTATCCTTGGTTAATCTTGTACTGTACAGTCTTTGATGCTTGTCTGTGTTTCTTCTTCTTCGTTTGCTGTGTTTTGTTGTCGTTTATGGCTAGGAGTGATTTCAGGTCATCTTGTCACAGTATAGGATTTTGTATGAACTCATAACAGTGGAGAATGCATGAAACCATGTTGTATGAGTTCACTTTGTCACAGTAGAGGATGCTGTTTTGACATGGCACTTTGTCACAGTAGAGGGATGTTGTTTGGATATGGCACTTTGTCACAGTAGAGGATGTTGTTTGGACATGGCACTTTGTCACAGTAGAGGATGCTGTTTGGACATGGCACTTTGTCACAGTAGGGAATGTTGTTTGGACATGGCACTTTGTCACAGTAGAGGATGTTGTTTGGACATGGCACTTTGTCACAGTAGAGGATGCTGTTTGGACATGGCACTTTGTCACAGTAGAGGATGCTGTTTGGACATGGCACTTTGTCACAGTAGAGGATGTTGTTTGGACATGGCACTTTGTCACAGTAGAGGATGTTGTTTGGACATGGCACTTTGTCACAGTAGGGAATGTTGTTTGGACATGGCACTTTGTCACAGTAGGGAATGTTGTTTGGACATGGCACTTTGTCACACATTTTTGTTGATTCATGTAGGGAATGTTGTTTGGACATAAAATGTTTTGTCACAGTAGGGAATGTTGTTTGGACATGGCACTTTGTCACAGTAGGGAATGTTGTTTGGACATGTTTTTTGTCTGAAAAACTACATCATCAACCGATCGGCACCATCTGAAATACAGGTTATCTTTCACCCCTAGTCCGCAAAATATTCAAAACCTCTGGAGTGTCAACTCACAGCGGTTTCATTTGTGCTGAATCACGACGTTGAACACCACAAGGATTGCATATCAAACCATTAACACCTAGTTACCTAAAGATTCACTATTTGGAATGAGATTCCTCAGATACAATTCCCAGAAATCTCATTCAGTCCAAGGGCTATATGAGGGACCCCTGATGGTTACAGAGTAACCTGAAGTCCGGACTGGTTGGGGGATTGGTGAAATAATGATTAGTAAGGATTATCATCACAGCACTCCAAATGATCCAGAGGTGCTGCAATCTCCTCCTCAAAAGCTCCTAAGTGTAAAATGACTGATGATGACATTTTTGTTGAAAGGTCTTGTCTCCTTAGTGAAATGTTCATTTCTTGCAGCTCCAGGCTGTACCCCTAAGTCCATTAACCTGGACATGGATATGAAGCTTGCAAGATAATCTGCACACTGTTTTTTTTTGAGCACCTGCATGACTGGAACAAAGATGAAGGTTAGGGCAGGGCAGCCATTTGCAAAGTGCTTAGTGTTGCTGTCCATTCTTGTCTGATGAAACCAGTTTAGATTTCTGTTATTTATATTCATTAAGTTGCTAAGTGTGCACATTTATGGGAACTGTTGAGTACCAAGCCATGCTAATGCCCTTGTGAGAACCACAATTTCCACTGTGAGGTTACTAGTTGTAACAGCAAAGGCACCATTAATCTCCTTGATGGTTTTCCCCGTTGATCTTACTGTGAATGCCCATGCATTTCGCTTGCTCCGAACTACCGATCCGTCTGTGTAAACTATAGCATCTCCCTTTGTCTATGTTTTCATCAATAATTGTTTTGACTAAAGTTTCCACAGTACCAGGAATCTGCTCTCTACAGCTTCCATCAAGTGTGATGCCGACTGTAATGTTAATGTTGTGAGCAGGAGGCATAGGTATCCATTCAGTTCCAAAATTAATTTCAGTAAGGCGGCATGCATGTATGATTACGTTCTCAGCGCCACCCATCTAGGATTTGCCTTGTTTTAAGTCTGTTCTTTTTTTCTTGAATAATTCCTCATAAAGTGTGTGTCGAGGGCCTGACTTCACTTTGAGGAAAGCAACATCCCTGGGTAGCTTGATTCTGTTTGTCCATTGTGGCGAAATCCAAAAGGTATCACATGGATTTACAGGAGGTGTCTCTCAGGCATCCAAGAATAATATGCATTGCTCTTTTTTCATTTTTTTTTCATGTTTTCATCTGTATGGAGCTGAGTGTCATGATGGCCGATGCATATTTAATGATGCATGAGAACTAACCCATGATGTAACATTACCAGTAGCCATTGTGTTACTCAAAGTTTGCAGCTCCCATAAATTTTATTGTAGCGAGACCTTTCTTGGCTTTGGTTATAATATTTTCTACGTGTTTTTTAAATGCTAAGCATCTGTCAAATATTATACCCAGGTATTTAATGGAATCAGATCTCTCCACGTCAGCGCCACAGAGTTTTACCCTCGGCATTCGTGTTTTGGAAAGATGATTATTTAATGAGAACCAGGGGACTGTCGCTTTTGATGGATTAATTGTTGCCCCTGAGATCCGAAACAATGTCATCTCTGTTCCTGCCCTCACTGTACACGTGGATTTCATTATCGTATGATGGAGTTTTTCCTTTGCCACTCAGTTGTTCTTCTGTGGCCACCATATGCTGATGGATACATGTAACATTTGTCAGTGGCCACCATATGCTGATGGATACATGTAACATTTGTCAGTGACCACCATATGCTGATGGATACATGTAACATTTGTCAGTGGCCACTGTGTGCTGATGGATACATGTAACATTTGTCACCATATGCTGATGGATACATGTAACATTTGTCAGTGACCACTGTATGCTGATGGATACATGTAACATTTGTCAGTGACCACTGTATGCTGATGGATACATGTAACATTTGTCAGTGGCCACCATATGCTGATGGATACATGTAACATTTGTCAGTGGCCACTGTATGCTGATGGATACATGTAATATTTGTCAGTGGCCACTGTATGCTGATAAATTGTTTGGTCATGAAATCTCAAGTGCTTTTTGTGGTAGATTCTTTTTGAGAGGAGCAGGTATTGCTAGCTATCCTTTGACAGGATCGCCATGGGTTGTGATTCCCAAGCCTCCATATAGCACAGTGTAATACTATTATCTGGAATGATGGACAGGTGCCAGTAAAAAAATCTGAATCACAGTAAACATTTGTTTTGTTATGTCAGATATTTCACAGCAATTCACCTTGACCCTGTAAGCTACACCCCAGGTTTCTGGTATCTCATCAAGTGGGGCTGGGTGCAGTACGTCTCCGTCCTGCTCATCTTCCTCTACATCTTCAACAAGGTCAAGGTTTTTGTCTTCCAACACCAGGTCGTGGCCACCGTCGTTGAAACACCAATCACCTCCAGTCTCGGACGCAAAGATAAATTTTCTTGATTCAGTTTTTTTACCTTTTTTACTTTATAAGCATATTTAGCATCCTCTCATTGTTAGTTTTTTTATATCAATAATTACAATATTTGTATTGCTGTTTATCCCATTGAGGTTGAACTGTCCACCCCTAGCATCCATTGCCATTCCTATGAATCTGCAGGTTGTCTGTAGCTGTTGCCAGGATCTGTAAAGTGTTTTAGTGCTTGAAAACTGTAGCTGTTGCCAGGATCTGAAAAGTGATTTAATGCTTGAAAACTTTAGCTGTTGCCAGGATCTGAAAAGTGTTTTAATGCTTGAAAACTGTAGCTGTTGCCAGGATCTGTAAAGTGTTTTAATGCTTGAAAAAAAGGAGGGACTAGAGAAAGCAGCCATGTGTGAGTGTATTTATGTGTGAGTGTATTTGTGTGTGTGTGTGTGTGTGTGTCTGTGTGTTATGTTATCACAATCAACATTGGTGCACATTGGGCAGTCTCATGCGTGCTCAGGTCTCTGATGCAGCAGCAACTCTAAGGAACCTCTACTGATTGTTCCTATAAGAATTTTGGTTACTACATCTCCTATCTTAGCCTCTCCCTCCCCATCCTCCTCTCTCTCTTTGTACATACATTGAGGGGGTGGGGGGGGGGAATGGTATCCAAGAGAGATGGTGAAAGATAGAGAAAGGTGAAGGTGGACAGTTTTAACATCTGGGAAATAAATAATAATGTAAATTATGTCAAGGGGTTTTCCTCTCTTATCATCCACACAAATATTTGTGTATCTTGTTTGTGAATCTTCTTAGAGTAGAGACTGAATTTGAACTGTATCACTTATTTCTGAAGTGGAGTTATGTGTGAAGCAACTAGGAATAAAATGTGTACCCATGTTTGAGAGAGACCGTATGTGTGTTGACATGACAGTTTTTACAATATTTTATGCATGTAGTGTAAAGAGTTTGTTACAGGAAACAAAGAAAAAAAGTTTGTACATTGTGAAGAAAAGGTTGTCGAAAGTAGGATTTTAAAGTGCATTAAAAAATATGCACAGTTTAAAAACAAATGATGTGATGCATGTCTGGGTTTGTAGAGAATTGAGTGAGCTTTTTATGAGAGAGCTAAAGAGTTAAAGTGACAAAGTATAAAAATGGGGGTGCTGACACAAAGCAAATTTTGTTGGGGTGGAAATAAAAGGGGAGAAGGGGGTCTGAACTCACAGAGTTTCAAGTGGGGAGACTCTTAACGGGCCTAAGTCTTTTGTAAGTATGTAATAATAATAATGATAATATGCTGACTGGCAGGTAAATATTTAAAAAAAAAAGGGTGGGGGGGGGGGGGGGGGAAGAACTCAAAGTGCTTGAACTCCCAATTTCTGGCAGCACCCTTGTTTGAGAGAGAGAAGGACTTGCATTGTAGTTTGTACATCTGCATATATTTGTTCATATACTTGAGGAAATCATAATGTCCATATTGTCATTCAGCTAACATTGCAAGAGTAGCATCTGTTCACTATCTGCCACATAGTTTTGTTTTTTTAAAACTTTTGTGAGGAAGAGTAGTTAACAGCTGTCGCAGGGTGTGGGTGTGAATGTACTGCTTCTGTAGTCTTCTTTGTTTTTAAAAAGCAGAAAGTTCAGTTGAGTCAGCTGACCAAGTAGACTGTTCTCCGCTGGATCCCAGGTCACTGCAACGTTTACAGGAAATGGCAGCTGACTTTAAAAAAAAAAAGATGCTTATGTGACCCCTTGGTGGTTGGAGTACTCTCCTCTTTGTTGCTGTTGTAAAGTTCATTTCATGTGAAGAAAGGTCCGCTGCCAAATAGTTGATTTGTGTTGTTTTGTGCACGTTTTTCTGCCTCCCCATTTCGTTTTAAGCTTTTTAATCACAGCTCACTGGAATTGCAAAGCATTTGAGCAGACTGCCTAGCACAAATCTGCACAGCACAAATCTGCATAGCACAAATCTGCATAGCACAAATCTGCCTAGCACAAATCTGCCTAGCACAAATTTGCACAGCACAAATCTGCACAGCACAAATCTGCCTAGCACAAATCTGCACAGCACAAATCTGCCTAGCACAAATCTGCATAGCACAAATCTGCACAGCACAAATCTGCCTAGCACAAATCTGCATAGCACAAATCTGCATAGCACAAATCTGCCTAGCACAAATCTGCCTAGCACAAATCTGCCTAGCACAAATCTGCCTAGCACAAATCTGGCAGAGACAGGATGCACTTATGAGGAACATGAAACCCAGATCAAGAGAACCCAAATGCAACACCTGCCACCCAGAACACAGCCTGAAAGACCTAATCATCTTTTCACATGAAAGAGACAGAGCATTGTGTTCAGAATCTGTCTTTTGTCCATTTTATGATTTGTGTCGCTAGGCATTACAGGTTAACAGATAATTAGTTTCTGAACTAGGGCAAGCTGCTCAGCTATGTGGTATGCTGTGATGTGGTGGTCTCAAGATATCAGTGACTCTTTCAATCCATCTTCTTGGTCATCCGCTACCTCTTAGTGTTTCTACATTCCTGTTGTACCGTCTTGTTGCTGGCATCATTGGATTTGTCCTCAGTAAATAGCCAAACCAATTAAGTCTTTTTTTTCATTGAATTGAATTATAGGTATTGTTCCAATAGTTATTATACTTTTTTCATTTCTCACATGATCTCTTCTAGTTTTGTTCACGGTCTTTCTCAAAAATCTGATTTCACAGGTGGTTAGTTTTCTTCGCGTTCTTTAATCACTGTGCAAGTCTGACACTGATAGCACAAGGTTGGTATCAGTCTTGGATATTGGAAAACCGGTTGCCTAGTGTTTGCGGTAATGTATTCAGAATGCAAACTTAAAACAACAGACTCCACAGTCATGTGTACCGGAACTTCAAGACTGTGGACTCAGAACTTTGTCCATGTGGACTGGCACCACAGAATACCGAGCATGTGCTACAGACAGGTTCTCTACATGCAGTTGAGAGATCCCAGGTTTGGCCTGTTGGCATTCTGGTAGAAACCAAGATGTGTGAAATAGTGGAAGACATGCGTCACACCACAGTCGTCACAGAGGCTTGTGGTAATCTCATCTGAAACTGACAGACTTCACAGACATGTGGCCATCTCATCTGAAACCCACTGGCAGGAAGAATAAAAGGAGAAGAAGAAACAAAGAGGGAAAACAAATATGTTCTGGTATTCACAACAAATGATTTATTACAGAAGTGAAAAATATGCAGTTTTTATAAAACAAGAGTTGATTAAATTGTTTGTCCTATTCTTAATTTTAATAATTTGTGAATAATTATCATGTTGGTAAGAAAAAAAAAATAGTGAAAAGTTTCCTCTGAACATTATACAAACACACAATACTAATGATTAATAATTAAAATGATGATGAAGAAGTTAATAATGAAGATGAGGGTAACTACACATTTAAATTATGACTGACTCACACAGGGATATTGTATGGCCATCAATCTATGTGACTGACTCACACAGGGATATTATCAGGTTATCAATAAATGTGACTGACTCACACAGGGATATTGTAAGGCCATCAATCTATGTGACTGACTCACACAGGGATATTATCAGGCCATCAGTATATGTGACTGACTCACACAGGGATTTTGTAAGGCCCTCAATATATGTGACTGACTCACACAGGGATACTGTAAGGCCATCAATATATGTGACTGACTCACACAGGGATACTGTAAGGCCATCAATGTATGTGACTGACTCACACAGGGATATTGTCAGGTTATCAATATATGTGACCGACTCACACAGGGATATTATAAAGCCGTCAGTATGCGTGACTGACAGCCATGACAGTCAGTGTGGGTTCTAGGGCCCTATTTTGAGGGGAAAAAAAAAACGTTGAATTAAGGTTCGACATCACAACACTCAAGGCATTCTCATAAGCACTGGATCCCCATCTTCAGCAGCGAGCAGAGATTTTCAGTTCCGGTAGCATCGGTACCAGTCGGACTGTATATACATATGTCCTTTTCCTTTAGTTCTGAGCATCGGCCGGATTCCCTGATCCTTCTCGCAGTACTGTTCTTCTCAGACTGTGATGATGTATTTGTGCCATAGCACTGTTCACTCACTCCCGAACCAAAATACCTTTACAATATCCAGCTTGTCATGCATCAATTCATCACCAAGTGGGAGAAGCCAACCCTGTTTAGTTGCCTCGTATGACATGCATGGTAGGTTTCTATTCTTTGCTTTCCTTAAAATACAGGGATGTGAGAACTGACTGAATGTTGAAAGGAAGTGATTTTTGATTTCAGTATTTATAAACTAACAGTTATGTTAACTGTTTTCTTTTTAACCCTGAGAATGCATTTTTTAGTGTAGTATACTGTGTGCACATCTTGCAAACTACTACATTGTATTGATAATGTTACTTATTTGCACCAATCTTACACACTTCTATACTGTGTTTGTGGAGGTATCTTTTCTGTGAAAAAGTGCGATCACATTTAGGACAGGTGAAGCTCTGTAGTGCAGTTGAATGTATCAGCATGTGCGAGCGGAGATTTGAACGATCAGCAAAAGCTTTGCCACAAGATGGATGCGAACAGTGGTAGGGCCTCTCCCCAGTATGGGTCCTCATGTGTCCTTTCAGAAGCCAAGACCGAGTGAACATTCGACAACAAAGAGGACACATATTATCACATCGAGACCTCTTACTGCTGCCACTGTCATTACCTGGTGATGACATCTGCGCAGAAGTGTTGACATTCTCATTCTTGTCCGCGTCTGATCTTTTTCGTTTTTTCTTCTTTTTTTTATCAAAGTTTTCCACATTTGCTTGAGAGTTGTCAGTGATGTGGTTCATAGTATCTTTATTGTTGATAGAATGCTCCGTATTCACCATAGTTGATTTTATATTGTTCATACACACAAGCTGTAAGAAGCATGGTGCTGAATTGATTTTATCACATCCATGATCTCTACATTGTTGGTCAGCAGATGCAGCTGAGCTTATGAAGTTACTGAGATGCATGAA